AGAGTGGGAGGGGTCTGACTTCACGAAGGTGCTGTCAAACATTTTAACAAACATAACTGCATGACTATATGTACATGCCAGGGCCACAATGGTGCATGATCAAGTAGATGAACCTGGGACTGGGACTGCTTCATGAAGCTTTTCAAGGCTGGTCTGCCATTTTTTTGAACAGGCTGGATAAACCCTCTGTGCTTTTCAACTGTAAAATAAATATAATAATTCTAATGTCATTAAACTTTTTTGAATCCTAAATGAAAACACTTGTACTGAAACATAAATCATCGTGGTATTGAGCCTAAACTGCCAAAATTGCATCTTACCTGGGAGTCTGCAGGGACTCAACAGTCTTCGCACATGGCCAGAACAACAAAGCACCCTCCCCCTGAAAATCTCTCATGTCACCAAATAATACAAGTCCCAGTTATGTGAATGAAACCCCACAGAGTAATGCGTATGTATGAATACATTACATAGATGAACATACGACGCATATTAATCCACATATATCCAAAGTGTACTTTCGGAGTGCCTTGACTGCATAAAAGAAAGCTAGAGGGGTAGGAAGGTCATCTTAGAATGCACACACGATGTGACTTCATAATTAGAAAGCCTCAGTCAACTTGAGTCTCCTTTAAGATGTTTCAAAGCAGTTATTTGAATAATCCTGCATCTTCTTACGAACCTTTAAAAATGACCCTATTTCCATTTTTATCTCTTTTTGTTTTATCATCAATTGGAGAGGGAGCAAGCACTTCTCCCCCAGCACCCCTATACACTTGCCCTGTCCTCTGGACCTCAGGAGGAAGAGGAGGCAGGGACATTGTGTTACCAGTAGGGGTCACTGTGCGAAGAATTAATCCCTATGAGTTTCTCATTAGTGATTATTATACTGCAGGCGGCCAAAATGGAAAAATTAATTAATTTCAAAGTGATAATGCATTTACAGCAACAATTAGAAATGTATAACTGTAAAAGGGCAACATTTAAAAGACAGATTACATTTAATAAAGTTGCACAAGAACATCCAATTGTAAAATTACTGATCTGCAACAATATTCCTTAAAGAGGCACTTAAAATAGCCTGACTCCATGAAGGGTGACCTAATTACTGTAACTAAAATCACCGTAGTCACAGCAAGTCACAGCAAATAAAAAAGGGACATTGATATGAGAATACTGCTGTTTAATACTTAGGGGAGGCGGCTACAGCGTGGCTGGGAAGGCAGCGCTCCGGAGCACATGGGTGGGCTGGGTTTCTTGTTCTCTTGGCCCCACACAATGAATGGATACCCCAGCAACACTGAAGTAAGAGGAGAACACTTTCTCGACTGTGTAACACAGAGGGCTTACGAAGCACAGGGCGCAAGCCATCTGGTGATGCGGCCACTGCATCCGCGCGAGCTTCTACATCAGCATTTTGGACTCTCATGTGAGATGGAAACTGCGTGGTTTACTTCCCAAAACTATGTCTGCATTAAAATAGCACACGTGTACCCTTTGTTTAAAAAACAAATGTCTCCTCATGACGGCGCAGGGCCAAGCCAGGTATACAGCATAGCACACGAGGGTGACTTTCCCAGTCTAGTCCATCCTGCTAGCAAAACCGACCAGTTTAATTCAAAGAAGAGCAGAGTAAAAGGTCAGCTCTTCAGTCGTATTAGCCATGTTTCAAGAAGGCAATGTCCCCATGTGGCCAGTGGTTACCTGCCCAGTAGCCTGATCATACACTTTGCGGGAACTCTAGGGCCATTCTTGTGGATGTCATTACTCTTGCGAATGCTCATGCCATCCTGTGCGATTTTGACCACACGGAGGCAAGCTGGAAGCTGAAGTGACTTGCCCAAGTAGTTCCAACGCTCGAGGTGTGCGCTGGAGTTCAACCACTAGGATCATTACCAGGAAAGCTTGCTGGCCCACTGTCCTCCTCTTACCACCATCAGGAAGCCATGTCCAAGCCAATTCAGACCCACACTCCCATCTCAAGCACAGGGACCTGCCCACTTCCCTTGCCCTTTGCACAAGTGTCCCCACTCCCCACACAGCACGAGGAAAATCTGGGTTTCTACGATGTTGCCACTTTGGTCCAACCCTTTTCAAGGTTCATTTGCTCACCTTCCCACATCCCTCTCACCCAGGGCCTTAAAGACCAGCTTTTGTTTTCTCTGTCACCCTGGGCTGCTCCTGAGGGCATCTCTCTCAGATCCAAGCTTTGCCTGTACCTATTGAGGTGTGTTCTCGAGTGGTCTTACACATCATGGACAGTACAGCAATGGGGGGGGGGAGGTATTTCAGAACCTGAGCAACCTATGGACAGGATGCATTCACTGACTTTTTAGATATGAACCACATTTGGAACATGGAGATCCATTCTCCATAATCCTCTCACGCAAGCCCTGGAATCTTAAGTCTTCAACTCTTGGATTATGTCTGTTTATTTTGCAGAAGAACCACTTGGGTGATTGAAGTAAAAGATGTACTTACTGTTTTTCTTCCAGACATTTCAAAATAGTTCTGTTATGGTTTTAAAAAAACATCCACAAATGTGAAGTTAAAAAATAGCATATGAATAGTGAACACAGGAGAAGAAGACAGTCTGTATTCCGAGGCTTTGAGATCAGCTGGAGAATGTTAGTTTGACCTATATTTCTTTTTTCCTATTTTTTATTTTTATTATTATTATTAATATTATTATTATTATTACTATATTCTACATGAGCAAAGAGAGAGAAAGTGAGCAAGAGGGAAAGTGAGAAAGCCAGCCAGTAAATCCAGGATTGGTCATGTGGGAGTCCAGGACCTCAACCACCACGCCACCTGCTGGCCCTGACTTCTAAAACTTCTAAAGTCAATACTGGCATCCAATAATAAAATAAAAATAAATAAATAAGAAAAATTAAAGACCTGTGTTTTAGAAAATTAATCTACCAGAAATATTGTGTGAAATATGTAAAAATTGTATATGAACCTTTGTGAACATTTCCAAATCTAACCTCAGTGGTGTAACTCATCCAAAATGATTCTTATTTTAGGAGGAAAGAATAAAGCACACCTCCGGTCTATGAAATACTCTCTAGGAGAAGTTTATACCCATTAAAAGAATAATTTAGGACATCAGATACAGATTCTCAATGAAAACAATGAATCACGTCTGCTGATAATTCCATAGCCACAAACCCATGTTTTTCACCCACTCACACAAAACAGTTTTCAAGTGCTGTGCTCAGCAACATAGATTTTCAAAGTTTCTGAATCAAAGAAGCCAAAACACACACACGTAAAAGATCACTTCCATCAAGACGTTCGAGCACCTTCAACACAATATTGAAAGCCACGTCCTCAATCCAGCCTCTGAGACACCTTCAGAGAAACAAATCTAAAGCCGGTGCAGACGTATTCAAGAGCCCTGACCATTGGCACGAACGGTCCCAAGGACGTCATCCTCAAGATCAGAAACATCATTACAAGAGCCGAGAGGCCGAAGACACTCAGGTTGGGTTTTTCTAGGACCCTTCCCAAGAGACACGGCAAAGTCATTCATGGCACTGGGAGTTGCTCACTTACCATGGACTTGGTGAAAGGCCTCGCCAAGGTAAACAGCAGCGTGTACACCCACCAGTTGCGATGGAGGGAGGAATACATCATGTTGCCGGGATGCACAGCGTTCGATGTGACCCCACGCGGGGAGAGACGACGGTGTAGCTCGTTGGAGAACAGCACGTTGCAGAGTTTGGACCGGTTGTAAGCCAGCATGGCCCAGTACTCATTTTTGGATGGAGAAAGGCGGCTGAGGTCAAGTTTTCCCAAGGAATCATTAATATCTGTGAATCTGAAAAATAAGAAACATGACATGAAGCAACGAAGCGCTCACTTCTCATCTAGCTCACTATCTCTTACTAGTAACCTGAGGAGATGGGCAGTGACTACTGAACACTTAATCCTACACACAGCGAAGTAAAGTCTCCCCTAAAAATGGATGATGGTTGTTTAACAATACCAACCAACTGGATCCACAGATAGACTTAGTAGAGACCCACACTGAGAAATGGAACAGCCTTACCATGATGAACTCCCATTGGCCTCCAACATATATTTTTTTGAAACCTCTAACAGGAAGTTCAAGGATAATTAAGTAAAATGAAAAAGCATCTTAAATAAAGGACTGCTGCTTTTGGAAACAGGAAGATATCACATTCCTAACCTTTGACGGCGCTTTTCTGGATTATTTTAGCCCTTGCTAGAGTCCTGTATATTTTCATTTGAGCATCCAAGTAAATATAGATGCGCCTTGCTGCCTCCAAGACTCTTTTCCAGATTAAAAATTAATGATTATAACGGGGTTATAACCTTGGTGAGGTGCCATCAATAGTCTTATACGTTTAAAAGATAAATGTAAACAAAGCCAAAATGAATTCTGGCAGAGTCTAATGTTTTTAAGTATACCCAGGGTATGTATACACACAAATCAAAGTAACTAGTTGATGTTTTATAATTGGGTCTGATGGAGTCGTTAAACACCAGCTGTTTGTTTCTCTTTCTTTCTTTCTTCTCTTTCTTTCTTTTGTCAAAGTAAGAACAAAGTATTGACTGCCAAAAACAATAAAATAAAAAAAGCCCAAAACAAATGAAAGGGACTTTCTAGACAGTCTCATCTTTGTTTAAAGACCCCTCATATTTTGTTTTATTAAATTAATTCTGGGCACTGAGTGATGGGGAAGCTTAGTAAGAGGATGCTAGAAAACTACTATGAAAAACGAAAAAGCAAACAGTCAGATGAACCATCCTGCTCCTCAATATAAGCAGATCTGTTGTGCTAAGACTATAAAAAGCCTTGCAGAAGAAGATGAAATTTGTGGGGTTTTTTTTTTTTTTTTTTTCGTATTTTGCTTTCAAGGTTTCTGCCATAGGGTGTGTGCTCACTGGAGAAACAGAGAGAAGGAAAAGTGAGAAATCATCCTTTGGGAAGATGGTCGCTCCACAATCCCTTCTCTTCTATTGTCCTCCTGGGATCTGGGACACATGCACATGCATGCACACACACACACACACACACACACACACACACACACACACACATCATGATCCTATCATGATTCTCAAGTTGAAGGGTCTGGGATGTAAACTGCAGTTGACCAAGTGGGAGTCCAGTGCCTTAACCACAATGCCACCTGCTGGCCCCAGAAATTTGTCTTTTAATGAAAACTAAATTCCCTATTTCCAGGATTCAGACCACAGCACTGATTTCTAGTGCTATAAAGTCATCACAAGGCTGATGGCCAGAAGCCGCCTTAAAATATCACAATGAGGCCGGGCTCCACGGCCTCGTGGATAAAGGAGCTGGATTCCAAAGCCAAGCATACTGTTCTAGTCCAGGACCCTGTGGCTTCAGAAATGTACCGGGTGTGTGTGCATACATCTGTGCCCCAAATGCTGACAGAAAGGAGAAACGGAGGAGAAGGGACTAAGGTGTGACCCCGTACCCCACTGGAGAGTGCTTTCTCCCTCTCCTTTTCTCTCTGTCTCTTTCTGGTGAGTGCATGTGCCCTCTGGCAAACTAAAACATTAAAAAAAAAAAGATTAAAAATAAGTTAATTAATTTAAAAAAAACACCACCACCAACAACAAAAACAATGGGATGTTGAAACTAGTGCTTAGCTGCCTGTTCCCAAGTCCTATGCCACACAGAGAGCCTACCCTCCACGCTCAATTGCCTAAAGCAGGGGAACGTAGCAGGAAATTTGAAAATACACTGGGCCCTTTCCCAGCGATGACCATGAGTGATGGGAGCCAGGGATGGTCCCTGTCCTGTGACGCAGGGGCAATCACACTTAATGCAGACTGCCCCACTGGACCCTGGTGTAGATGAAAAGCTTGTGTGTGACTATCTGAGCACGGAGCCTAACTAACTGTGCTTTACACATAAGCAGGTCTTCACAATTCACTGCATTTGCAGGAGAGTGCAACACTGCAGAAAATGAGGACTGAAGGTACTCTCGGACTTACGTGGGTTTTTTGGAGGAGGAAGTTTGACTCAGTGTTGTTCTACTACGGACTGCAGTGCCGCACGCCTGCATTTGTGAGTGCCCTCAGGTGATCTGTGCACGCACACACACATGAATACCTTTCCTGCAGTCTTGCCCAAGCATTCATATGTGGAAACACATATACTTTGCTACATACTTATTTCTTCTTTAGATTTAGTTGTGAAAGTAACTTAAATCATTTCTCAACTTTACTTCGACACAGTAGTGAGGTGTTACAGAAGAGTTTTCACCAAAACAAAGGGGGCTTTTAAGTTTAAAACTTAAGATACTGGTCATGACTTGGAAACTTTCCTTAGGGTAGAAGAGAGCATCAGTGATTTAGACACCATCTCAGAGGTATGCGGTAAATACAACAACCTTCATTCCCATCATCCACTCTTCTCTTCTAAGCTGGGACTGAAAATAAACCCTTTTTTTTTTTTTGAAGAGGTTTTCGCGATAGGGAGTGTGCGCTCGGCAGATAGACAGAGAGAGACAGAAAGACAGAAAGCGAGAAATCATCCCCCCAGAGGGGATGGCCACACCGCAATCCCTTCTCTTCCAATCTCCTCTCGGGATCTTGGGCATGCACACACACGTGCCCAGCGTGAGTTTAAGCCACGGGTCCATGATGCGAACCGCAGTCAACTACATGGGAGTCCAGCGATATAGCCATTACGCTAACTGCTGGTCCCAAAATAAACTCTTCTTGGCACTCTTGTTCAGCTCAACCCAGCTCAGGGACCACTTTTTCCAGGAACCTCTCCCTAACTAATTCTCCCAAGTCTAAATGTCAGAGCGATTTCTTGGGTGACAGTGGGAGACAGATTGAAAGAAGCCATGTAAACCAGGTTGAAACACATGTCTCCACGGAAGCTAAGTCTCCACTCTTCAGGACTCAGTCCACGGTATCATTCCTAGTGTTCAATGGCACCGTTGTCCGTCCAAGATTAGCAGTCAAGCTAACTGTACCATTTTTGTGTTCTGCCCACACCTTGGTGCTCTGCTGTTGCTACACCACACTGCAAATCATTTGTTCACCTGCCTCTAGCACTGGACTGTGAGTTCTTGGTGCAGACAGTGAGACCCTTGGAATGCTGCCTTACCTGGTGCCTGAACACAATGGGACTGAGTAGAGGATTATAGAACTGAAGTTGAATCATGGGTTTGGAATTCCAAATCAAGGCCACGTTCCCCTTAGCACAGAAAGCTTTGTTTTGAGTCTTGCTTAAAAGGCACAATTTACCACAAGGTTCAAGTCCTCTGTGTTCTTTATCACTACTGGCATGCAGCGCTCTGTAATGTTTAGAATGAGTTCTCTTGTTTTGGTTGATAAGGACAACAAAGTAGAATTTCATGACTAGGGAACACTGGATGGGTTAAATTTCTAGGAGGAGAAAAGTCATTGCTTCTTAGTCTCCAATCTAGAAGCAGGCAAAAAAAAAAAAAAAAAAAAAAAAAAAAAAAAAAAAAGAGCCATGATGAGAAATTAGTTTTTTTGTGGTCCCAATGAAAAAAAGGGAAAAAAAAAAAAAAAAAAAAAAAAAAAAAAAAAAAGAGCCATGATGAGAAATTAGGTGGAACCAGGTAGAAGAATAGTTTCAAGATGGAAAAGCACTGGCGCTAAACATGAGATCCCTGCTCTGCACACAACCCTCCCCACAGACAGGACCCTGATTCCCCTCCCTGCTGTCTCATCAGCTGGTACTGACAGTCTTCGAGGAAGTAGGGAGGGAGGGAAAAAGCTGCCATCCCTCAGAACCAGGGCAAGCTTCCTGACAAAGGACCACGTTCACCTCTCAGCCCAACAGGCAGGAAGACGACTCTTCGAAGCCTACCTACTCTAATTTCCAAGGTGAAAACTGGCTCCCTGGCTGTTAGCATTTGCTCTTTGAGACTATTCCTATTTCTATATATACCGATCCCCCTTTTATTAACTAAAGGTTTTTTAAATTCCTAAACTGAAAGTATTAGCCTGGATTCTATATGGACAGAAGCTACAGTGCTCAAAGAATAGTACTGAATTTGCATTGGAAATGTACGTGTGTGTGTGTGTGTGTGTGTGTGTGTGTGTGTGAGTGAATGTGTGTTTGTGACTGTGTGTGGATGAGTGTGTGTGTGACTATGTGTGAGTGTGTGTGTGAGACTATGTATGGATGAGAGTGTGTGTATGTGTGTGTGTGTGTGTATGTATGTGAGACTATGTATGGGTGAGAGTGTGTGTGTGTGTGTGAGACTATGTATGGGTGAGTGTGTGTGTGTGTGTGTGTGTGTGTGTGTGTGTGTGTGGTAATTTGCATTCAGCACAGCTGTAGCCATTTAGAGCTGTAGCCATTTAGAGTCGTTCAGCCAGCACTCAGCCCTTTTCATTCTATTTTAATTGTTATCTAAAAATTTTTTCCCAGCACGGAAGTCAAGTTCTCATTTCAATATGATGTATTTTAGGTATGCAGAAACTCAATTCGCTCGCTCAGACTCCAGATAAGTAAAACACAGGGAAGACGCAGGGAGGCTAGTAAATATCTTGCCTCGGGGCAGTCTAGTATAATATTTTCTGCAAACATAGGACTTTATTTTTCCCCTAACAGGGGGTCTTGACTCCGACGACGAGATTCAGCCAAGGTTTATGGAGGTAATTAGATATCAACACTTGCATTTTACAGCATGGTTTAGGGCTCAGAGTGCCTGAATAGTGAGCCAGTGTCCACGTCCATACTGCTTGCATGCCCCATGTCCAGGCTGACTCCCAAGTGCCAAGGGACGCCATGCGTGAGTGTAACAAACACGGCAGCTTGGAGGAATTAACATTTTGTAAAAATACCATGGACAAGGTACGATGGAAGACCGGAAAATAGAACACTGGTGCCAGCCACCGGACAGCAGTAGGGCTGACGGCACATTTCAGGAAGGCCCGGTCTGTGAATGCAGACAGGTCTAATTCAGGGGGACCGAGGCCATTTCTTCCCAACTTCTTGTTTAAACTGAAATTAAGATTTGGATCTCCATGGTGGGCACAAATTACACCGCAGTTAAGGAGAGAACAAAGACGTCACATGAAATACCGTTTGAGATACAGTTTGACAAAGGGAAGAGAGCAGCTGACAATTCCACATAATCTCCCATTAAATACCAGCTCATTTAAACATATCCCGTGGTGCCCTCCACATCTGGCAAACGATTGGGGCTGGCAGATTTATTTTCGAAGCTCTCTCCCCTGCCTGCCCCCACGGTAGCCTCCCTCGCTCCTTGACAGGGCCACTCCACTTGCTTTCACAAACCTGGTGTGATTTGCAAAGATAAGGCTGTCCAGATTTTGTTACCACCTAATTACTAGATGTTTCATGTCTTTTCACACGGGGGAGGATTATTACTGGCATTTTCCTTTCATTTCGGCCATCATAAATTTAAAATGGTAAAAGTAAATCTATCTGCAGTGTGTCACTTATATCATAAGCCCCTGTGTTTGGGAGTGATAAAGGGTTCAAGCTAACCCTTGGCTGGTCTCTCTCTTCCAAGTCCCAGGGGTTACATTTTATGGAAGTATGATTAAAAAAAATAAGCTTCATTCTGGGTCACTAAAACATTTCAGGACTTAAGACGGAGAAGAGGAGGAAAAAATAGGTCCTTGCACATTATTTTTCTTCCCCAGCTACTCTGCTAAGAGTAAAGCTTCCCTGCCCCCACTGGCAGGCCCCCACCCTCAAGAAAATGCCAAAGAGAAATCTCCTTAACAAGGATGAAATCTATCCTCACCCAGGAAGCCCTTTGTCTTCTCTTTAGACAAATAGTTGTTTAGCCAACTCCAGAAACAAACACGCTGAAAATACGATGAAATTTTCCAATGTCTTTTTAGTCAATTGAATATCCTCCTAATGGTAACAGAAAAGAAATGCCATCTGATGTTTTAATTGAAATTTTAACCAAAAGAGGCATGGCCAGATTTCTAATATGTTCTAACTACTTTCCTTTCTACAATTGCACAGCTAATGTCTGCATTGAATTCCCTAATTTCTCATTATAAAACAATTGGATTTCATCTCGCAGTCTTTAATTGCATTGTTTCTCCTGCTAGAATAACGGCACATTCTTCTTGGTAAGATGTTGAAGTTGTTGAATTACAAATCAATAAAGGTCATGCCATTCAGATTGAATCAATTATTATTCCATCTCTAAGCGAAATCAATGAGGAACGTATAGTTGTAAAAACAATCTGCATAACTGCAGACAGTCCCCCCAAAACAATGCCCCCGAGATGTCACACACACACACACACACACACACAGAGAGAGAGAGACCTAGAAAAGTTCGGGAAGATAGGCTGAGCACACCCAGGCTTCTCACAGTAGGACCAGTCCATATTATTTTCAGAAAGAGCCTCAGGGGAATATGAGCTGGAGCAAGGAAGGAGACAAAGAAAATAATTCACTTCCAACCCACCTATGGGACTCCGAGGAGACCACAACAACGCGGGCAGGGGCCGAGCGGCACAAAACATCTTGAAGGAGCTGGACAAGGTAGAAGTGGCCCAGGTGATTCACCTGGAAGGTGGTCTCCAGGCCGTCTTTTGTGAGGCTCCAGGGCAAAGCAAACGCTGCCGCGTTGCACACAAGCACGTGAAGAGACCTGGGAAATAAAACAGTCACTGTTACATGGACATAGCCCTCGAAGGCCAAGGATAACCCACATTCCTTTGCAAAGAAACAATTCTTCACCATCTTCAGGACTCCAAGCAGGCAGAAATAGGACACTCTAAAATGTCACATGGTTGTGAGTGGACACTGGCCGTGGGTTACTGGGGATGAAAGACACCTTGGGATGTAGAACTTTTGAGTGCTGAAAACAAGGCAGTACAGGGCGATCAAGGAAGAGTTGGGCACCCTAGTTGGAATTCAGGTTCTATCACTAATTAACCTCTGTGCCTCCTAATTCAACCACTTCTCACTTTCTGCTTCCTTAAATCAAAATAGTCCTTAAAGTAGAGCTGAGCAAGAAAGGAGAAAATAAGCTGTAAAAAAGGCTGACAAGAGGCCCAGCACCTAGGACTGCTGAGTAAACATACTAAGAGAGCAATGTTCTATCTAAAAAGTCAGGCACGGGGGCCAGCAGGTGGCATAGTGGTTATGGTGCTGGATTTCCTCATGGCCGATCACGGAGCAAGTCCTGGACCTGACTGTTTGAAAATCACACCAGGTGCATGTGTGCTCAAAATCCCGAGAGGAAAATGGAGGAGAAGGGACTGCGGCATGGCCATACTCCCAGGGGGAGATTCCTCACTTTCCTTCTCAGCGTCTTTCTCTGTTTCTCTACAGGGAGCGCATGAACCCTATGGAAAAAGATCTTTTAAAAAGGCACATATTATTCGAATATATTCAATTTAGAGTTCAGATTAAATCCACATTTTGGAAATGAGCCCAGAGATAGGTACATGGAGGTCTATTAAATATTCGCTCTTCTTGTGTATATCTAATTTGTTCAACAATGAAATTATCAATAAGAGAAGCCATTCATGTGCCCAAATCCTAAATCCACATAAACAATGTGACTGATGAGGAAATCATCCTAATGTACGAATGTGAGCTGCACAATGAAATGTACTCAAGACGAACACAGCATTTGTAATTGAAATAGAACGCAACAAATCAGTAGAAAATCAAAATAAACAACTGAGAAATCTTTAAATGAAGTAGTATCTATCCATATGGCAGAATACCACATAGCTTTTTTTTTTCCCCCATTTTTTAGTACCAGAGAGCATGTGTGTGCACCCGAGAGAGGAAAGTGACAGACTTGGAACCTGGGAATGTTACCTTATTTTGAAAAAGTGGAGCCTGATCATGCCCCGTCCTTTTGCCTCTCTTTCTCCATCGTGCCAGGACCCTCGGCATGTGTGCACATGGCCAGCACGTTTTCTAAGCCACTGGGGCTGGGATCTGAGCCGTGGTCAGCCATGTGGGAGCTGGCTCCCTTCGCTGTGTACCTAACCACTGCCCTGTAGGGACAGCCCTGGGTAGCTAGTAAAATGATTAACAAACAAATCTATTGATGCTATAAACTACTGGAATAAAACAGAATGTAAAATATTGTATGGTCACACACACACTTACATAGAGAAAGTGGGAGGAGGAAGGAAACAGAGAAAAGAAGGATAAACAAAAATATTCATTGTAGTTATCTCTGGAGATGTAGGGACTTAGAGTGTCTGATTATTTTTTTCTAATTTTATCTGTATTTTCTTCATTTTTCTCCCATAACTAATATGTGATATCTTTGTAATAAGGTAAAAATATAATCAAGTAATTACAAAAAAAAAAAAACAATTAGAAATTTAGCATGCCAAATAAGAGAAAAAACAACAGGCTGTGGGTTTACAGAAGCACTGGATTAAGATTCAAAGATCTGGGGCCAGCAGGTGGCATAGTGGTTAAGGCGCTGAACTCTCGCATGGCTGACCTAGGCTGGAGTCCTGGACCTGTCTGCTTGAAACTCACACTAAACACAGGTGCACACATGCTCACAATCCCAAGAGGAGAATGGAAGAGAAGGGATTATGGAAAGACCATCCACCCTGGGGGTGATTTCTCACTTTCTCTCTATTTCTCTGTCTCTCTGGGAATGTACGCTCCCTATAGCAGAAATCTCTCTCTCTCACACACACACACACACACAAAGGTTCAAAGGTCTGCATATTTGTCCCAGTTTCAGACAAATCACCCAAAGACTTTGAGCTTCTGTAGAACTAGGGGCTGAAAATTGAGGACACGGTTTCCTCACATAGCTCAGACTTCATGTGAAGGTTTATAGGCAGTATTCTTATGTAGTATAGGAAATAAAATCTTTCCTACACTTCCATTAGAAAAAAAGAAAATCAAGAGCCAGCAGGTGGCATAGTAGTTCAGGTGCTGGACTCCCACAGGGCTGACTATCCCCCAGGAGGAGATTTCTCACTCTCCCTCTCACTTTCCCTTTCTATCTCTCTGTGCATGCAAGTACACACACCCTATAGCAAAAAACCTTAAAACCACAACAAAAAAACTCACTGTTGTTTTCATAGAAACTTTTCATAGATCTATCATTAAGTGCAAAAGTTTCACAGAAACTTTTCATAGCTCTATCCCATCTTCACAGATCATAGCTTAAGCTTCACGAGTTTTTTAAAAGCATTGACATGCAACAAAAGGAAATGTAAGAAGTCAATATAAGGGACCAGCAGTTAGCGTAATGGCTATGTCGCTGGACTCCCACGTAGTCGACCACGGTTCGTGTCCCGGACCCGGTGGTTTAAAACTCACACCAGGCGCATGTGCGTGCGTGCCCAATATCCCGAGAGGAGAATGGAGGAGAAGGGATTGTGGTGTGGCCATCCCCCCTGGGGGGTAATTTCTTGCTTTCTGTCTCTATGTCTCTCTCTGTCTGTCTGGCGAGCACACGCGCCTTATAGCGAAAATCTCTCAAAAAAAAAAAACAAAACAAAAAAAAAAACAAGTCAATATAAAATTTTAAATACTCTGAAAAAATGTAAAGAGAAACAAAATGGCAAATATATGAAAAGATATAAAGGCCTCATATTTTTACTATACAGAGTGAAGAAACATTCTAAGAGTCAGAAAAATGAGATCATTGAGTCAAATGAGTCATAAGAACGTGATCATTCTAGATTAAGGTAGAGCCCAAAACTTAATAAAAAGTCTTCTTATGACAGAAGAGAAGGGAAGAAGATACACAGAGAGGCGATGGAAAGGAGGAGGTAGAGATCGCAGTGATAAATATCCAGACCAAGGAACACAACGGATGGCTGGCAGCCCCTGGAAGCCATGAGAAAGGCAGGGAATGGATTCTCCCAGAGTCTTCAGAAGGAGCCACACCTATGACCAGGTGATCTCAGACCTCTGCCCAACCGTGCTGTCAGAAACTTAATTTCTGTTATTTTCGGTCACCTGACTTGGGGTAATTTGTGATGGCAATCTTAGGAAACTTAATACAACTTTCAGGATTCTTTCTTTAAAAAATATATATGCAAATTTCATACATGAGTTTATGTATAATGATATGTAATGATATATAAATGAACTGAAATTATGATATTATATCTGAACTAAAAGCAACCTAAAATCCAGCAACTAGAGAATGGGTAAGTAAACATTAATCAAGAAAGAGGTTCTCAATACTTCTCAATTTAACAGAAAAAGCAGAAAACTGAAATTTTGTACTATGATTCATACCCTTTCCCCCAAAAAAGATTTCTATATATATATAATCAGATTTATTTCCTTTTTCTCTTTTTTTGTATTTTCCAACTCTTTGACAACAAACATTAATCAATTTCTTAAAGAACTTATGTTAAATACAATGCACATACCATAAAATTTACCTTTTTTGAAGTGTAAAATTAAATGGTCTTAGCATATTAACAGAGTGTTGCAACCATTGCCACATTCTAAATTTACAAATTTTCCTAACTCCAAAAACAAACTTCATTATCACGAATCATCAATTGCCTCTACTCACTCCCACCCCCAACACACCATTAATACACTCAATCCTGTAGATTTGCCTTCATCAGACATTCCATATAAATGGACTTGCACAATATATGGTCTTTTGAGAAAGGATTATTTCATTGGTCATTTTCATGATGCTCACACATGTAGCCTACATCAGTTAATTCATTCCTTTTTATAGTCAAAAGTAATTCCACTGAATGGATATACCATATATTGTTTGTCCATTCACCACTGATGGACATTTGAGTAGTTTCACTTTATGGTTATTATGAATATTGCTATTAGAGGTATTCACTTACAGGACATTGTGGAAATGTATGTTTTTATTTCTCTTGAGTATATATCTATGAGTAGAATTACTGGGTCATACAGTGACTCTAGTTTTTGAGAAATCCCCAAACTGTTTTCCAAAGTGTTTATAACTCTTTACATTCTCACCATGAAGCTTCTAATTTGCCCATATCCTGGTGAATTTTTGTTTTTATCTGTCCTTTTTTTTTTTTTTGTATCTATCCTAGAGAGCATAAAGTGGATTTCACTGATTTACTTACATTTTTCTAGTAAGTAATTGTTACAAGTAGTCCGAAAGATATGAGCAGGAAGTCCCGAGACTCCAACAGAAAGGGCAACAGATACATCACTCACTGTCAGGGTTTGCAGCCAGACCCCTGGCACCAATAGGGAAGAGGTTATCCGAATTACTGCTTGCATTGACATTAGGGGAGTTGGAGAATGTAACTTTCTTTCCCTCCCATAGCAGCACCTGTGCACACAGATAGCCTACTGGCTCCTTGGCCAGTATCCAGTCTTCCTCTGAAGGCACCAGTATGGGCAAAATTGTCCCTAAGCACATGTTCATATCTTCAAAATCCACACTGAGCATGTATACAACTCTCCCCGCCCCCCTTACTGGGTGCTAGCATAACACTTACCAGCAAAAAGTACATAAGCACAAAAAAAGCCACAAAAACAAGAGATTCAGGGAACAATGGTTATGTTGCTGGACTCTCAAGTAGTTGACTACAGTTCAAGTCCTGGACTCAGGGGCTTAAAACTCATGCTAGGTATGTGTGTGCGCACATGTCCCCAAAGTCCCAAGAGGAAAATGGAGGAGAAGGGATT